GGTTGTGCGTATGACCTTAAGATCTAACTAGTGAATGTGATTTTCCCATAGGAACTCCCAGAGGATGGAACAGCCAGGACCCTCTGGAGAGAGTGATTTGGCCACAGCACTGCATCGCCTTAGCCTTCGTCGACAGAACTATTTAAGTGAGAAGCAGTTCTTCGCTGAAGAATGGGAGCGAAAGATCCAGGTTCTGGCTGACCAGAAGGAAAGGGCTAGTGGCTGCATCACCCCCACAGAGAGCCTTGCCTCTCTCTGCACCAACCAGTCAGAGTTCACAGATTTCAGCAGTGCCAGTTGTCTTCGAGGTTTTATGCCAGAAAAATTACAAATTGTCAAGCCCCTGGAAGGTAATAAATCAGTAAGGGCCCTTTCCAAGCCACGTGGCTTATTGGGCTTGCCTTTCCCTGGAATTGAGATTTGTGTCGTAATTACAAGAGCACTGTGTACAGAAGATACCTTTTTTATCCCTTAATTTTGCTGTTTGGGTGACAGTGCATTGTAGAACTTTGTGGAAATAATGAATGAAAAGCTCTATTCTCTAAATCATCAGCCATCGCTTCTTTTCTACTGATATTTTTTAATATAAATGTGAGGGGGGAGGAGGAGTAATCTTTTCCTATCTTGTGTTAAGGAATGTGATTGACAGCAGGTTGCATGGTAAGGTAAATGGGATATGATAAATGAAAATGATCGACAGGTAATACCTCATCTCACCTTCCTTTTCAAAAGAGTTCTTTATGCAAAAGTGTAATTGACTTAGAAGTATGTTTGCCTGTATTTTTCTTTTTTCAGTTTAGTTTCTATTCTCTCCTAAGATACAGAATTTGAATTCAAAATAAATTTTGTTTTATGAACAATTGACAATCATTGACTGACATCATAAAATAATTTTGCATTAAACAAAATTTTGAGTAGGTAACTTATAAGGACCCCTCCTACTCAAAGATTCTGTAACTTAGTTTTATTCATTAATACTCAGTGTAGATATTTGTCAGAGTTGCCTTTTCTTTTTTTTTTTTTTCCTGGAAACAATGTCTCACTCCGTTGCACCAGCTAGAGTGCAGTGGTATGATCATAGCAACCACAAACTCCAGCCAAAAGGGTGGATATCTTCCTTCCCATCACTCCCTCAGCATCCTAGTTCCCATTAAGGGTGTCATCTTGTTTTTTTCCACCCTTTCTCTAGATATCCTTAAAGTTAACTTTGAAATAGATTATTATACGTTCAACATCTTGTCAGTCTTCCACAGAAAACTTTAATTTGCAGCTTTTACCAAAATATTAACACTAAATAAGTAGTTTTATTTCTGTTATTATTATTATTACACTTATAATTTTAGCTTCTATTTCAAGATTTAAGATTTGTGAGAAATGTAAAACATGCCTTTTTTTTTCCTTTGGCCTGAATATTCAGGATCACAGACTCTGCATCATTGGCAGCAGCTTGCTCAACCAAACTTGGGAACAATTCTTGATCCCCGACCAGGTGTCATTACTAAAGGCTTTACCCAGTTGCCCAAGGATGCCATCTATCACATCTCAGATTTAGAAGAGGATGAAGAGGAGGGTATCACTTTTCAGGTTCAGCAGCCTCTTCAAGTGGAACAGAAACCTTCAATATTCAAGCCAGTAACAGGGATCTTCCTACCGTCCATTACTTCAGCAGGTGGACCAGTAACAGGTGAGAAGAGTACTTAGTTGAATATGGTCTAGTAACCAGGAAGTACTTGGCATCCTGACTTACTGTGTGGTCAGCTTGCTACCTCTGCTCACTGGAGCGTACTCAGTCTTAGATACTGGATAATGAAAATCTATAGCATTAGTAGCATTCCTAATTCTCTCCACTTTATCTTAGCCAGCCTGCATAAATAAGTTGGGCAGAGAGATAGATCAATTAACTCAGTAGTTTGCAAACCTTTTAGGCCCAGGATTGCTTTACACTCTTAAAAATCATTGATAATTCCAGAGGGCTTATCTATGTGGGTTATATCTATTGATATTTACATATCAGAAATCAAAACTGAAAAATTATAAATATTTATTAACTCGTTTAAAATAAGAATTATACCAGGTGTGGTGGCTCACGCCTGTAATCCTAGCACTCTGGAAGGCTGAGTCGGGAGGATCGTTTGAGCTCAGGAGTTCGAGACCAGCCTGAGCAAGAGCGAGACCCCGTGTCTACTAAA